AGTTCTCAAGTCTTTTAAGCCTTTTATCTCATCACAAGCTGGGCTGGCTGGGTTTGAATAACTTGGATATGGGGCTGAGGTGGTCATTGGTGGGTAGATTAACCAGGAGTTAGGGTCTAGGGTCCAGTCTCTGTGAGACTCCGTACTTCTTTATCCAGCTGTGTTTTTCCCCACTTAAGTCTGTCTCAGTGATTCACCATGAGCTTTAATCTCACTTTCTGTACTACTGTGCATGGAAATAAGAGGCTAAACTCTGGGGTCTCATCTGCAACCATGCCTCCCCAGTCTTTCCACAACTCGGGCTCCCCTTCCTACTTTTGGACCCTCAGTATGTAGAAAACATCTTTAATTTTTAACTTTATATTTTGAAATAATTTTAGAGTTCCCACAAAAATTATCTTGTTTGATGCTGGCATATAAGAACTAAGGAAGTGTTAAGTGGATCTTGCCAGCAGATTTGACTTTAGGGCTTGTAGAAATTGTTGGACTGTCAATCCTATGATGTTAGAAGATCTTTTGGAGACCATTGAATCTAAAATTCGCATTGTTTGAGGCAGGAACAGGCAGGAAAAATGTTCCTTATAAGTAGAAATTTGGGTCTGGGAACAGTATGCTCTGCTGATGAGTAGTGCTCTCAGGTCCTTGAATTGTGATGTGGCTTTAGCCCTAAATCTTGAGGCTATAGTGCTAGAGAAAGGGCTCCTATAATAGGAAGAACAATTGAACCACCAGTGTGGGAACTAGAGATGGAAGGAACTTGAATATTGGGGACTCCTTGGCTGTAATGGACCAAGTTTGGGCAGCTTTTAAGTGGGGAATTCCAAGGTGAGGTGGCTGTGGGAAAATCCTTGAAGGGTCCAGGAATCAAGGGAGCAGAAGTGCTATGCTTTTCCACAGAGCACTGCACACACCTCAGGGCGGCAGTGTTGTTCAATTAATTGGGTTCCCTGTACCTATTTAGTGCAGTGTACTTAGGGCTTTCGGGTGGGGCCTCTCTATTAGATATAGGACCCTCCCCTCCCAGGTTTTGAAGGAAAGCTAGCCCATCCTGTGTACTGTCTCCCTGAGTAAAAAGGCAAGTTCCTGTGGGAAGGCTTCTGCAAACCTGTCTTCAGCCTGAGATGGCAGGGCTGGATTCTCTGTGGTAGCGTGTCTAAGTTGAACATACACACTAACCCATTAGACAATTTTGTTAGCATGTGGATTCTAACTGGATATGTAGGTCTGGGTGGAGTACAATCTTTCTTGTGGTGGTGCTGGTTCAATAGCATACTTAGAGCCATGCTCTAAAGTTTTGCAGAGACTCCTTTCTGTTAATGCCATCTTTCCTGTGAAGGGGAACTTGATAGTATAAACTTTTTACATAAACAATGCTACCTAGGAGTTAAGGAAAAGGCCACTCACAGAAGGGTGGGACCTGCATGTGTTTTTTTTTTTTTTTTTTCCTAATAAGAATAGGCGTAGCCAACACTGGCTTTTTCTAGTCGTGTGATGCTTAGAGATTTGAGCAAAAAATACTCAGATTGAATTCAGATTGGATTCTAAGCTGTTGGGGAGCTAGGAACAAATGTCTCATAATTGCTAACATTAATGTGTACTTAACTGTGGGTCAGTTGCTGTTAAAGTGATGAACTGAGCCCTAATTTCCCTACTTTATAGATGGGGGTGCTGAGGCACAAGCTGGCCTTGAGTCTTGGCTGGTGAGAGGGGGAGTGGAGAGTTGGATTTGGATCCTTTGGCTGTGGAACTTGTGTCCTTCACCACTATGTGGTGCTGTTTAAGGACTTCCAGTAGAACTCAGTTCTCGTGCTGGGCCCCCTTTATTCCCCAACTGCCAAAAGGAAAAAAGGAAGTGCCTGAGAAAAATTTAACTTGATGGAGCTGTTTCTTAGAACCATTTCTTTTGCCTCAGGCCTGCACTGGTTTTTGTAGGTTCTCTTTTTGTTATCTGTTGTGCAAGGAAGTGTTAGCTATGGCCCCATCTCATGAGAATCACTAGGTTTCTGCGAAGTTTTAAAAAAATATTGTTAGTAGAGGTACACAGTAACTGCCATTTATCAATTTTTACATGCAAGGTACTTGTACAAAGGTTGGAAAGATGACTTTTTTAAAGCCTCACTTGAGTCTGAGACAGTTTTTCTCAGTGGTTAGAGCATCAGCCTGTGGACTGAAGGGTCTCAGGGTTGGTGCTGGTCAAGGGCATGTACCTCAGTTGCAGGCCAGATCCCCGCCCCGGTCCGGTGTGTGTGGGAGGCAACCAATCCGAGTGTCTCATATCCATGTTTCTTCTCTCCCTTTCACTCTGAAAAAAACAATGGAAAAAGTAATCCTCGGTGAAGACTAAAAGAAATTCTCACTTGGTATGTTCCTATTGATTTGTTTAGGGGAGAGGAGTCGGGGGGGGGGACGACATTGATTGGCTGCCTCCCATATGTGCCCTCACCAGGGCTCCAACCCATAACCTAGGTGTGTGCCCTGACCTGGAATTGAACCCACAACCTTTTGGTGTACAGGATGACACTCCAACCAACTGAGCCACCTAGATGTCTTTTTATGGGGCTTGGTCTCATTAGAGTCCTCTGAAAATATACCATGCCAGTAGGGTTTGCTTTACCACAGAGGCACAATGGGAAGTGCACTGGAGCCCAGAGGAAGGCACCCCACACCTATGGGCACACTAGGACAAGGAGATTTCAAGGTGTTCCGAAGTTAGGGACCAGCTGTGCTAGGGCGCAGGGTGTGAGCAAATAGGGATGTTGGGATCATGGGGTATGTGGAGAGGAATATGGGAAAGGCTATATAGGTCCTTCTGGGCCAGGCTGGAAGAATAGTTTAGGTACCATAATGTAAGAAGTGAGAATCCATTTCCATGATCAGTTTTGATTACTCAGGCCCTTGAAAGTGATAAATTAGAAGCAGGTAAGACATTAAGCATAAACCAGGTGAGGGCAGTAAAGTTGAAAAGCAAGGTAGTTGCATACTACGTCTAGGCTTTATGGAACGTGGTAGGATTTCTTGTTTTTGGTTAGGCTGCTACTCCTGCGCCATATGTCAAGATACAGGGTTGGGCCCGGCTGGTGTGGCTCAGTGGTGGGGCATCAACGTATGATCCAGGACATCACATTTCTAGTCCCAGTGAGGGCACATGCTTGGGTTCCTGGCTTGATCCCCAGTAGGGGGCGGGCAGGAGGCAGCCGATCAATGACTCTCATCGTTGATATTTCTATCTCTCCTCTCTTCCTCTCTTTGAAATCAATAAAGACATTAAAAAAAAAATACAGGGTTGATAAAAGGAAGACAGCTTCACTTTGGGAAATGGTAAGGTCTTTGCAGACGAGTGATTGCACCTATCTTGGGTTGAATGAGGCTCAGGAAGACTAGGTTGAAGAGGGTTAGGATGGGTCAGCATTTAGGGGGCAGCTAGCTAAGGAAAGGTTGGGTGGAGCCTGCACACAGCCCTGGAGTGTGTGGGGAGTAAACTGCGTGTGCTAATTGTGCCATCCAGGTGAGGGTGCTGAAAGTGAAGTCCCCTGGCTTTGTTCCTTGTGGGTTATATCATTCTGAGTGGCACAGAACCCGTTGCCTCATACCCGGGTCGCTGTTTCAGTAACTCGCAGGGCTCCTCAGGGCCTCCCTGTTCTTTTGGACGCTATTGACCCCAGCACCTCCCTGCCCTACAGCTAGGAAGAATTTTGGTGCAAAGTGTATGCAGGTGGTGGTCTTAGGATCCTGGTTTCCTAACAGGCTCTGGAAAGGCTCAAGTGCTTTTTCTGGAGAGAGAGAGCTGCCCCTTGAACAACATGCGTTTGAACTGCACAGGTCCAGTTAATAAGTGGATTTTTTTCAATTGACCTGCACAGTTCAAATGCAAATTGTACAAGGGTCAACTCTGCAGTTGGGAATACCTGTATGTGGAGGGCTGACTAGGTTTTTCTTTTACCTTTTTATTGAATTTATTGGGTGACATTGGTTAATAAAATTATATAGGTTTCAGGTGTACAGTTTGATAATGTCTCATGCGTATATTGTATTGTGTGTGCAGCACCCCAAGTCAAATCTCCCATCACCATTTATCCCACTTGACCCTCTCCTTCCTCCCCCTTCCTCTCTGGTTATCACCATACTGCTGTCTGTGTCTATGAGGTTTTTTCTCATTCCCATCACCTTTTTCACCCAGTTCCGCAATTCCCCTCCCCTCTTACAGCTGTCAGTCTATGAGTCTGTTCTATTTTGTTAGTTTATGTTGTGAGGGCTGGCTAGTTTGATTTGTGGATTTAAGACTGTGGGCCCAGCCAGGTGTGGCTCAGCAGTTGAGCATCGACCTAGGATCCAGGAGATCGAGGTTCGATTCCCAGTCAGGGCACATGCCCGGGCTGCAGGCAGCCAATCAATGACGACTCTCTCATCATTGATGTTTCTATCTCTCCCTCTCCCTTCCTCTCTCTGAAATCAATAAAGACTTTGTGGGAGGTCAGCACTCCTAACCCCCATGTTCAAGGGTCAACTGTACTTATATTAACTTTCATTCCATCATGAGAAGAAATAGCTACTAGAATTCATTTCCTAAAGTTTTGCTTGTTGGCATGTTTTGTGGATATAGTGTAACCTATAACTCCTGCCTCCAGGGGGTGGGAGGGAGCAAAGGGAGTAATTTGGCCTGCTAGTGTCAGTGCCACAAGGAACCCTAGAATTATATTTGGTGCTTGTGGTCTATGTTTAGATGCTACTGTCTCTGTCCCTGAAAGTTGCTCTAATTGTATAACTACTCTTTGCCGTGGAAAAAGCAAAAGAGGAGCTCTGCAGACTAGCAAAGAGTGCTCTAAGGTAATGCCTTCTGACAAGCCTGGCTCCCCAGTTTCAGACCCTTTATACATACCTCTATTTTAACTTTGACTACAAGGCTAACGAGTCTCTAGGGCAGACCCTCTGGGATAGCACTGGAGGAGCCACTAAACGTGAATGAAGGAATATTCATGGTAACTGAGGCGGGAAGGATGGTGTTTGGGGAGCCTGCTGCCCCAGGAAAGGCAGTGGAGTAGAGGTTCACCTGAGCCTAAGCTCATTTAGCTATGTAGCTTAGCTCTGCATGTGCTTCCAGGCTGGAAGCAGGAAAAACCCACACAAGTACAAGCTGGTTCTTTATACAATGTGTATAAAAAAAAATCAGTACGTACAACCCCTGGTAGTTGAAGCTGGTGCCTCAGCTCTTTTCCAGGTCGGACACCAGGAAGGGTTGGGTGTCCTTCAGGGCCTGGAAGAGCAGCTCTTTGCAGGTCAGGTTCCAGGCTGGAGCAAAGCTGAAGAGCCTCCTCATCTTGTCCTGGTTGGTGGCCTCTGCCCGCACTGCCTCGTATTGCTCCTCCGACAGGACGTTCCCGTGCAGGACATCGAGCACCCCGTTCACATCTGTGACCCGCTGAATGAGGTCCTTCCGGTGCCGGTCCACAAAGTGCAGTGCTGGGGGAAGAGGGAGTAGAGCAGGTGAGCTGGCGCCCAGGGGGGAGCTGGGGCCTGTTCCTGCTGAACACTGCTTCAGGGTGGGGCTCAAGGTGGGCATGAGTATAACTCTCCCTTTCTGCCCCCAACGAGGCTCTGCCCAAGGAGGTGTGTAAGTAGGTGGGTGGGAAGGGCTGGCCCAGGCTGCGCTCTCCTGGCGCTGTTGGCTGCGCAGGGGCGTGGTGGGTGAGGTGCCCAGGCAGGGGAGTTTGGGTGTGAAGGCCTCACCTGGCGAGGCTACCATCTGGGGAGGAGGGGCCCTGAACTCCGCCGGCGCTGCTCCGGAGCCTGTAAGGGAATGGAGGAAATGAGGCGGTCCTCTCCTTTCCGTCGCACTCCGGGCTCCCGGGTCGGGGCTCCTTTGGTCCTTGGTCGGGAGGCCGATCTGGACCAAGCGCGGGAAGCCGGGAAGCTCCCCAGCAGGAGGCGCTTTTCTTAGACCCCAGGAGGAACAGAAAGTGAAAGGGCCCCGGGCAAATGCTCGGGCTGGGGGCTGGGTGTAGTGAGGGGCGCAGGGGGCGTGCAGGGGCTCGCTCACCCGCCCTGGCGGCCTTGGCCTGCAGCCGCGCCGCCGTGTCCTGCATGCCCATCTCGCTGAGCACGTGGGTGGTGAGCTCGGTGGCATAGGGCCCCAGGTAGCTGCTGACGAGCTTGTCGGTGAGGTCCACGGCGTCCATGGGCAGCAGTGTCCCCCGCGGGATGCGCCGGTAGCCCTCGCGCAGGGTGACCGACAGCAGCTTCATCTTGAACTTCTTGAGCTCGTCGGCGGTCAGGTCCTCCAGCGCGTCCAGGATGGCGTCCCGCGTGCCCGCCATGGTGCCCGGGCCCCGCCGCGGCGCTCACCCGGTGTCTGCCGACCAGGAAGTGGCTCTGGGGCGGGACCTGCGCTCCCGCCTCTGCCTCCGCCCCTGCCCATTGCCCTCGGGTGTGAGTGAGGTCCTCCACATGATCCCTCGGGTTCCAGGCCTCCAGCGTCAGCCCCTCGGCCGTGGGGAGGGGGCGCCGGGAACCCATCCTCCTGCTGGCCCGCAGGCTGGGACCCCGAGATGCGCCGGGAGAGGGAGGGCGCAGGGAGGGTGCCTGCGGCTCCAGGCTTGCACCAGCTGGCACAGACCGGGGACCCAGTTCCTGCGATGCCAAGGCTCACAGTCTCGGAATTCTAGAGCCCTGAAACGTCCACCTTCCCCTGAACCTTAGCATCCTCTCTCGCAGGCCAGAGGATCTTAGAATCACTCCTAACAGCCAGAGCCTTGTAGCTCCCCCAATTCCACATACTGGGGAGAAACGAGGTGTAAAAAAAGGGAGGCGAATAGCTGCGCGTGCTTTATTCCTCAGCCTGTTTCCTTTCCTGTAAAATGGAGGTAACACTTGCTCACCCACTTAGTGGCAATTCCAACATGACAGGGGCTACCTGATGGCTCCTGACATCTCGCCAAAGGGTTCCTGGGGGGGCCAGGATTTGGCCCCAGGAGCTGAAGTTCTTGAGAAGTGATGACAAGACACACTTGTAATGGTTGAGAAAATTCTCAGCTGGAGGGAAAGTCATGGGTGGAGGGTCACTCTGGGCCCAGGGGGCTTGACCCAGAAGAGCAGGTGAAAACTTGGGGATTGGAGCCCACGCTGTGCCCAGAGTCCTTAACTTGCTGCTCCCGTGGCTGAGAAGGCCCTGCTGGTCTGGCCCTGTGGATGTCACCAGCCTTGTCTTGCACCACATCCTGCTCTCCCTCCGTCTCTGAGTTCCCACCACACTGGCTTCTCAGTTCCTCAAATGTACCAGGCTCCTTCGCTTATTTAAGCCTTTGCACATGCTGTTCCCTCAACCTGGAAGTCTGTTCCCTCACTCTGCCTGGCAAACTCTTGAGACTTAAATCTCAAACTAAATGTCACTTTCTCAGGGAGACCAGGTTTAGAATCCCTCCCAGAGTAGTTCATAACACTTGCTACTTATTTGTAGCTCTCATAGCAATTGTGACTAAATTGCAACTAACTCAGTCTATTTGTGTAGCACTAGTCTTCACGGTCAGCCTGAAAATCATGCCTGTCCACATCACTGTTAGAGCCACAGCATTCAGAACAGTGCTTGGCCTAGAGTAAGTGCTCAATAAATCTTTGTGGCATCAATAATGAGTGAATGGGCCTTATGGCTCACGGGAGGATGCCAGTAACTGGAAGGTGTGCCTCTCTTCAAAGAGAGGCTGCTTCCAGGAGCTGAAGGACTGTGGACTTGAAGCTGTACAGTCCCTCTTTGAGCTCTGGCTCTGCTTGCTAGTTGAGTACTGGGAATCCTTCATTTTTCGCTGTACCTGGGCTGTAATAATCACCAGTCCTTCTAGTGGTGTGATCCTGACATATTATACATTTATTTATTGGGCATCCATCTCCCCACCAGAATATGAGTTTTGTGAGTGCAGGGACATCGTCTGTCTTGTTCATTGCTGAACCCCAGGCCTTAAGAGAGTGCCTGGTGCACAGGAGATGCTCAGTGAAGATTTGCTGCATGAAGGGATGAATGAGGCTGTGTTACCTGCAGCATGTCGTATTTAAGAGCTTCCAGAAGGGTAGCAGGGCCCTGATCCCCATCCTAGTGTGTGTTGTCCCACACGGGCTGGGTCGTACTCTGTGCCAACATCCTCACCTTGGGCGGCACTTGTGGCCCATCAGCCAGTGTTCCCTGGCTCATGGCTGTTACTGTTCCTCTTCACTGGTCTTCGTCCTTTCAGATCTCCAGCTCATTTTATGCACTGTGGCCGGATGGCTACATCTTCCTGGCCCACACATGGATCCTGTCCCGTCCCTGCTCAGAAACCTGCTATGACTCTCAGTGCCTCAGATCAAGTCCAGGCTCCTTGGCTTGGCCTTCAGGCCTTTGCCAACCTCCTCAGCGCACCTTCTACCATGTTGGCCTCTGCGCCTCTGCACACGTGGTACTTGCTCTCTGCTCAGCTTTTTTTTCTTTCTGGTCTGCTTGGTGGGTTCCTGCCTGTACTCCAGCATTCATAGAGAGTTGCTTTTTGTCAGAAATAATAAACATTGGAGCTCCTCTTTAGGCTGTGAGCCTTCATGTGCATTATTTCTGAGCCTTACAACAATCCCTTGGGAATAGGGAATAATAGTCCCATTTTATAAATGAGAGGACTGAGGCTCAGAGAGGTTGAAGGACTTGCCCAAGGTCATGTAGCTGAGGGGATCATATAGCTTGTCTGTCTAGCTTCTCATCTGTCCTCGGTCTACTCTTCCCTTGTTGACTCTTCTGTCCTGTCTGTGCACAATGAATTATTGCTTGGCCTTGTCCACAGGATGCCCCTACTATGCCTCTATTGCAGTGTTTATCACAAAGTGTGTTTGGTCACTCTACTTCCCCCACCAGACTGAGCTCCATGAGGCTCCTTTCTGATCCATAGCACCCAGCAAGGCTTTGCACAGATTCTGCCTTGATAAGCCTTTATGCAATGACAAAAGAATCCTAGAATCTAGAATCATAGGAACCTGCTCTTTTTTTTTTTTAAGTATCTTTATTGATTTCAGAGAGAGGAAAGGAGAGGGAAAGAGGGATAGAAACATCAATGAGATAGTCATTGATTGGCTGCCTCCTGCATGCCCCCCGCTGGGGACTGAGCCAGAAAGCTGGGCATGTGCCCTGACTGGGAATTGAACCTAGATCTCCTGGATCATAGGTCGATGCTCAACCACTGAACCACACTGGCCAGGTGAAACCTGCTCTTTTCACATTTGGTAGAATCTTAGAAGCTTTGAGTGTTTGAGCCATGAAATTTTAAAAATATCCAATTCAACCCCTACACAGAGCAGGGATCCCTTGGCCACATGGCCACTGACTGCATCACTTGATCCCTTGTTTGAATGGGTGGCCTTGGCTTTAAGTAAAACCAGTATAACACATTTTAACTGAACCTTTGGGGCTGCAGGAAATTGCACCTGAAGGTGGGCTTCTCACACCTGGCTTCCTGGGGGTGAGGGAACTGAGGACTTGTGTCATGATGGTGTGACACTGTGCATATTCCCTTATTCCTGCATATCACCACCCAGGATCCTTCCTTTTGGGCCCAGCTTGCCCCTGGTATCCAATCCTGGTCACATTCCTGCTCACACACATTCATACTGAGACGTGGAAGAACCTGGCTGTGGTTTTCACCTGACATACCTCTGAGCAACTGCTGGCACTTTAGTGTGATGTTGCAGGGATGCAAGGGACAAGGGCCCGGGGACACACAGCTGGTCTCTCCTAGAACTGGAAGCCTCCCTCCTCAGTAGTCTTGGGCTGGGGCTCAGTAGGAACAAGTTATACCTTTTGGTGGGGGCCTGTGCTCTATGAGAACATTGTAGACTCTGAACTCAGAAGGCTTTTGAAGACTACTTTATTCTGAAAACAGGTATTAGGATCTACTAGATGCCCAACCCCATGATAAGTGCTGGTGGAAGATGAATAATAGTAACCACAGCTTTCATTTTTTGAATTTACTATGTTCCAGGCACTGTGCTAAGCACTTGACATTCATAATCTCATTTAATTGTCCCAATAATCCCATGCAGTATGTATATTTATCCCACCTTACAGAGGAGAAAACGGAGGTTTTCAGAAATTACTCTGGAAGCCTACACTGGTAATAGCTGAGAAAACAGATTGAACCCATGCCCATCTGACTCCTAGGCCCAGGTTCCAACCACCATCTTAGAAATCCCAATGTCTGTCCTCAAAAGTTGACAAATTGCTTGGAGAGATCATGCATATGAAAATTTCTGCCTCCTCCAGACTGTCCACAAACACCCTCAGGAGGGCAGATATTGCAGTAATAGTGAGGATAACATTCCCTGCCCCCTCTGCAGAATGCTCTAGCACGAAGCACACTCAGAAGGTAGTGGAGTAGTGGGACAAGCAGGAGATACGGGTGTCAGGCCCACTCAGATTTGGTTCCCAGACCCTCAGCCTCTTAGCTGTGTGACTTAGGGAGGTCACCGCCCCTCCCTGGGGTCTGCATCCTGTGTCATTAATGGGCTCACCTCACTGAAAAGGACTGTGAGTTGCCGGGGCCCCCAGGGAAGGTAGAGGTGGAGCCTGCTCATTCCTGGAGACTCCAGGGTGGTTTCACCCTGGGAGGGTGGGGAATAGGAGCCTTGGGCAGCTCTCTGGGAAGCCATGGTAATCACTTCTCCTTTGACCCCTTTCCTGGGGGGAGTCTCAGAGCTCTGAGCTTTGACCCCTGGCAGGAAAGAACCTCCATTCTTACCCAAGGCCCACCCTTGCCCCCTGGACTAGAGCCAGAGCAGCTGGTGGTAAGATGCTTCCTGGGCATGATCCTCCACCCAACACAAGTAACCCTTTGATTGCTGGACCCGGACTGCTCCTCCTGGGGCCAGAAGGACCATAGGCTGCCAGGACATTGGGCAAGTCACTTAATCTTTGGGTCTCAAGGCCTCCCTGTAAGACAGGAATAACGATGAAGTTCTTAGGTTACAAATGAAATTAAGAGATTATAAATGGATTAAGAATTGTGAAGTGCTTGGAACAGGCCTGACGCATAGTAGGTGTCTTTGTCATTATTAAAGTTTCTGAGCCTCAGTTTCTCAATCTGTGAAGTGGGGATGATGTTGTAGGGAAGATTCATTGGAACAATTAGTAATAATAATTGTAATAATATCAATTGCCAACATTTAGTGAACATTTCCCATAGGCCTGGCATTGTTCTACAAGCTTTACACAAATTAGCTTGTTGAATCTTCATGACAATCCAACACCCTGATACTAATCCTAAATAATCCTCATTTTCCAGATGAGAAAGCCATGTGAAGTAACTTGCTC